CTCCACTCTTCCTGCATCTGCTATTAAAGACTTTCTTGTATTTTAATAATGCAAGACCACCCTCATACCTTTCTTTCAACGCCCCGGAAAGTTCTTTATAACTCTTCCGTACAGATTCTTGTTGCTGGTGGTAAAAAGCCTTTGCATCATCAGTCAAAAATACAGCCAGAAATTGGCCAGCCTTCTCGTTCGACCACTCGTTTACGGCCACGTAAATCTCGAAATCTCGAAGAAACTCGCGGATATCTCCCTCTCCAGAAAATTTCTTGTCTGGGAGAACAGTCTTTGTTGATCCCAGGCTGCCACCAGTGTAAACTCACGCAATAAATCGTTATATATTTATTGAAAACAAAATAAAAACAGCAAAAACATATCTTTGGAATCACACACAAAGCGTCAACCCAACTACGTCCTAGTGCGCATGTCCCAGTCATTACTGACTAGTTCCCTGTCCTTACACTTATATCAGGAAGTGGAGCCATCACTTGCATTGCAGGTTTACATGTTTTTCTTTTGCATTCTGCACACTTGTTCTCCCAAGCTCGTATTTCCTCACGACCACAGAGTACCCAGTAGCGCGAGGAGAGTGATGCTAAGGTATGGTTAGTGCCACAGACGTGGTTCATCGTCGTCTAACCACGGTTTTAATGGATGTAATTTGATTTTTTTCGGTAATTCTTTTCCACTTCGCACGGCTTCAATTTCCTCGGGAAAAGCAATTTCTTGGGCCAGCTGAATAAGTTGATTTTCGGAATCATTGATTTCTTCGGATGTTAATTCTCCATCAGTCCGTTTGCCTCTTGGTTGCTTACAATTATTCATGAACCGATTAATCCAAGCTCGAACTCTTTTTAGACGTAACCAACTGGAGAAACGTATCGGGTCTAATGGCGATGTTACAGGTTCAGCTTTCCTTACGGTTGCTAACGTACTGTCCGATTTCTGTGGACTCGTTCTGATCTCGTCTAACCCACTCCGATCTTTACAAAACCTCGTTTTCTTCATTTCTAGACTTTCGTATTTCTCATTCTTAAGTTGAATCGATGGCCAGTTTTCTTCATTCTCTTCCAGGAATCTTGGACCATTCCACCATATCTCCGATCACTTTAACTCGAAGGTATTTATTCCTCTTGTGATCAAATCCGCAGGGTTTTCCCAGGATGGAACATGGCGCTACTGCTGTGGGTTGCTACGGCTTTGAAGTTCTCCGACACGATTAGCCACGAATGGTTTGAATTTTCGGCTTTGGTTTCGAATCCACCCGAATACATTCATACTATCACACCAACACGTTACTTCAGAGACATCAATTTCTAACAGGTAAGTGAGGGGAACGGTTAATCTCAACCCGACAACTGCGATCATTAATTTCAGACGAAGAATGCTTATTGCTTTTAAAGGTGCCACTTTAGACTTCGCGGAAATCAGGCGAATTGATGTCACTCCACACTACAACCAAGGCTTTTAATAGAAGGTAGTTGCCCATCGTCGAGATGCACTGCTGAAGCTCATTCTTGGAGTGAAATCTGTTCTAGGACAGCCCTTGAATTCGATAACCACTTGTGAGGATGCCATCGGCTTTCTCGTATAACTCTTTCAGTTGTCGGTAAAGTGCGATTGCCTGATTATCATCAACTGCGGATTCCATGCTGTCGTCCATTTTCAACAGTATCGGCCGCTGATGGATAGGAATCTTTGTTCTTTAGGGCTACTGGATGTCTTGGAAAACGAAGAAGTACGTTGTTAAGATCCTGTTGTAACTTCGGATCTTGAAGCATCACATCATTCAGCGAAACTTCTCGAGATTTATTCATTTTTGCGGGAAAATTAATTAATCTTGTATTCTCAGGATCGACTGTTTGCTAGGCTTTATCACTGGTTTTATGGACCAAACAAGGACAACAATACCACTGTTCGAATCAGCGCGAAAAGTTGTTATTTATGGATGGAAATTTGATTTCAAAATTGATTTCTATTCTAGCGATATATGGCCTTTGAAAGATAAGCCGCTCAAAATAATCCTTCACGTTTTCCGAATTCCTTTTTTCGAGGAAAGGTTTCTTTCGAATTAATCTCGGGCCGTCTCACGACTGACTTTTTGCTGCGTCTTATCTCTGGTTTTATGCGCCCAGTAAGGACAAAAATACCACCGTTCGATTCAGCGTAAGAAATTATACTTACAGACGTCGAATGTATTACTAAACAACAGTATTCTAGCGATTTATGGCCTTTGAAAGACAAGCGAAATTGTATTGTTCACAAATCGCTCAACATTATTAAACTAAGTTTAAAGATAAAGAGCAGAGCCCAGCAAATAACTTTAAATCCAAACATAATAAAAGTAAAATATTTATTAGCTAACGTTTCGTTGTTTACAATACAACATCTTCCAAGCAATTTAAATGAATTTACAGGATATGGTATATATATTTACAAAATAATGGTTTAATATTACAAAAACGGTTACATAGTTTGAAAAAACAAATGAATAGAAAGAAAGGAAAACAACTTATCAGTAACTAGTTAATAAGTAAAGATTAATGTATGGTTAGTATAGTTAAGGTTAATATTACATAACTAAAATAACTCAAGAGGGTGTAGCAATTGCCATTATTAAACTAATTAAAAATGCAATACATTTGACCAATTGATAACTTTCGTATTGTTGGTTTTCTCTTTCTCGGCAGTATACCAGTGGGTTCGTCTCACTTTTCTCTTTATTTTTTTAGTAGTTCGAGCCCAAAATATTATATTTTGAAGGTTTTAATACGCAGTTTTAATAAGCGAAATTGTATTGTTGACAAATTGCTCAAAATTACTAAACTAATTACAAATGCAGTCCGTTTGATCCTTGATAACTTCGGAATTGTTGGTTTTCTCGTGTTCGGCCGTATGCCAGTCGATTCGCCTCACTTTTCTTCTCAGTTTGATAGTATTTTGAGCCAAAAATTTTATTTTGAAGGCTTTAAAACGCAGTTTTGATCCTAACGTACGGACCAACTGGCGGCCGACGGGAGAATGTAGCGTGCTAAGGGGCGGACCATTTGATTTTTGAGGGGGGGGGGGGGGGGGG